TAGAAGTAATGACAGAATCGGAAAGATCATTGTGAGATATTTTTAAATGAGAGATTAAAAGAATTCTTCTTCAGCTGGTTGGAATGTCGAACGAACTGAACCCTTTATTTCGCTCACTGTGGTAGACTGTTCTAGTTCTACGTGCCATGTTTAACACGACATTCCAATCATCTGAAGAAGGCCGGAGCGTACAACGGCCGAAACGTTGTAATAGATATGGCGACAAAGATGAGGACGATAGTCCGAATAATGTAAATAGTGTACATAATGCCTCATCTCAGAAATATGGACAGGTGACACGGCATATATATATATATATATATATATATATATATATATATAATTCCAAGATTTGAATAAGCGGCTCTAAAAAGTGTCTGATCAAAATTAGCTGTGACAGAGCATTTGAATATTAAATCAGTAACCTGGTAGGCAATGACTGGCCACTACTTTAAGTTAAGTGTGCTTGCAAACTTCAGGTATTTGCTTGTACAAATTCTTCAGTAACTTGCATTTATAAGATAATTACCTTATATACCACCGGACGCGTACAATTTGGCGAGGGTTGAGCAACCAGTCAAGATCTAAAAACTGGAAAGTCTTGACATCATAGCGAAAAGCGCTCAAAAACAAGAAAAAAAGTGTTGACATGGTGCAGGAGCTAATGCATTAAGCCAAAAATGTTCCCAACTTGATCAGACAACTAAATTCATGTTAGAGCATATGTGAATACAAGAGCATTTGAATATTAAATCAATAACCAGTTAGCCAATGACTGGCCACTAAGGTTTCATGATGATTATAATTTAATTATAATCACCATAAAGTTGTCTCTTTCTTAATAATAATTAATATTTTGTTTTTACAGAATACTCTGTTTTTACATTGAGCTCTCTGGATTATCTCCCCCTTGCAATTATCCATACGGATTACCAAATATATCCTTAATTATATATATATATATATATATATATATATATATATATTAAGAAATGGACAAAGTCCGACAATTTATTTATTAAAGACATTTTTATGTTTAAGGTTCTTTTTTATAGATACAAGTATTTAAGTAAATGCTCTGTTTATAATAAACAGTATTAAATAACATTTACCAGCCTGAATGTCCGAGAAATTTTCATAGAAAATATTCGTTCTTTGACAGGATTCGAACCTGCATCCTATACGGAACCGTCATTTACGCTGACGTGCCTTATCGATCGGCCACAAAGAAGCGTTCGGTAGACAAGGTCGAATTTAGTGCTTACAAACTTCAATCTTCCATGAATCTCGTACATTCATAACTGCTCTGGCGTATCAAATGTAAACAAATGACGTCATATGTTAAGAAATAGAGAAAGTCCGACAATTTATTTATTAAAGACATTTTTATGTTTAACGTTCTTTTTTATAGATACAAGTATTTAAGTAAATGCTCTGTTTATAATAAACAGTATTAAATAACATTTACCGGCCTGAATGTCCGAGAAATTTTCATAGAAAATTTTAAGGAAAGTAAAATTGCGTTTACTTATAGGGCCGCTTTGTAACTGAGAAAATTTGACAAATTTAATATCGACGACAGGTTAGAAATCAAATATAAATATATGAAGATAAATATAACGATTATCTAATCCAGCAAGGACCTATATTTCTATGTTCAAAAACACATGCGAATATACACAATAACATACATGTATATACATACACATAGGCGTGTACCCACATACACACATACATATACCCATGTACACACATATAAACACATATTTACTTTCCTTCGTCCCATCTCTCTCCCCCACCTCGTCTTTCGCTCCCTCTTATTCTAACATTAGATCGTCTATGGTGTGTGTATGTCACCACGAAATGTATCTTTATGCATTAGACATCCGTCAACATTCATTTTTTTTCTCTTAATTAAACCCCTTCCACCCACCTCTCCTAAAATTCTCTCTGTTAAGGTTTAATCTCCCTCCTCCTCATACTTACACTCTCTCTAAATTCTGTTTTTATTTCCGGAGTTGGTTTTTCTGTTTTCTTTTTGAATTTGTAGGTCTGATGAATTGGATCGTATTTACAATTCCAATGGAATCAATTATGACCATGGAATATTAGTGTTTAAGCCTTTTTATTATATCCTTACTCTGTCCTGGACATTGAGTTCTACCTGGATTCTTCCTCTTGTATTTTTTTTCTAAAAATATACATGTATGGGTATTTATATATTTTGCATATGTATGTATATTTTCCACTAATATTATCAATATCTATCTATCTATCTATCTATCTATCTATATATCTCTCTCTCTCTCTCTCTATATATATATATATATATATATATATATATATATATATAGAGAGAGAGAGAGAGAGAGACAGAGACAGAGAGAGCAGGAGAGAGAGTCGGTTTTCAATCCCGGCTTGGAGCAATCGGAGGTCTAGCCACACTGAAGAGGTGTGATACAGCAAAACAGTCTGTCTGTGGATGACTATATATATATATATATATATATATAAGCTTTTAGGAAGAAGAGAAAATTACCACATTTATACATATATATCTATTATAGAGTACTTTCGACATTTGCAATTTAGGAATGTCTCTGTAGGACTGGCTCGTTACCTAACTAGCTAACTATATATATATATATATATAGATGAATGATAGATAGATAGATAGATAGATAGATGAATAGATAGATAAGGAACAGACTGAGATAGATAGATAGATAGATAGATAGATAGATAGATAGATAGATAGATAGATAGATAGATAAGGAACAGACTTAGATAGATAGATAGATAGATAAGGAACAGACTGAGATAGATAGATAGATAGATAGATAGATAGATAGATAGATAGATAAGGAACAGACTGAGATAGATAGATAGATAGATAGATAGATAGATAGATAGATAGATAGAATATGAACGGGCTCTGAGTGATAGATAGATAGAAAGAAAGAAAGAATATGAACGGCTCTGGTGATAGATAGATAGATAGATAGATAGAATATATGAACGGGCTCTGATATATATATATATATATATATATATATATATATATATATATATATATATATATATATACAAACGAAGATTTTTATCCTGAGTAGACATCTTATCTTTCGTTGTTACCTGTCGGGTCATGTATTTTAATAATTGTGTATTTGGGCAGCAACTTTTCTTTTACGTCACAAGCGTAGATACTTAACATAATTGGCGTTACTTATTGACTCTTATACAAGTTTCCTGTGTATGTATGTACGTATGCATGTATGCTTATATTCATTAAAACCGTATTATTATTAGTAGATATTCGCATTTGAAATAGTCGCCCTATTTTTTTTTTTTTTATTTAAGCGTTTCACCCTAAGCAAGACGGGAGTGTCACTAGCACGCAAGGGGTTACAGAGAGTTGGAGTGAGAGCAAAGAGGAGTGATAGAGGAAAGGATGAAGACAAGCATAGGAGATAGATCAAGGCATCCGGAGACGTCGATTGATATTACATTTGAATAGTTGGAGATTATAGCTATCAGGGAAACAAGAAATGGGGAGGGTGTTCCACAGACGAGAAGTGCGAGCCATGAAGCTATTGGAGTAGAAGAGACGGGCACATTTAACAGTTTCCACAGTGAAAGGGTGAGAGCAAGATGCCAGCCGAGTTGAATGGTTAAAGTCATGAAGTCTGGGAACCAGCGAAAGCAGCTCATTGGAGCAGTTACCGTGAAAGTATTTGTGAAAAGACAGAGGAAGGCGACGGATCGTCTGTGAGAGTGCAACTGCAGACGAGATGTCAGATCAGGGCCAATTACATTGCATATCCCTCTCTGGATTTTATCAAGAACCTTGAGACAAACAGAAGGGGCTCCAGAGCATATATATTAAACTTTGTGTATTAAACTATCAGCCGCCACATTCGGTAAATCGGAATAAGAAAGATGATGAACACAACAATTTGTCTCTCAGAAAAAACAAATCTCTGGTGATGCCATTGGGTAAATGTCGAAAGTAATTGGAATAAAATGAATATGTATCAACATCGTAATCTTTTCTTGCTTTAATAAAGTGACAAAGAAACTTGTCCGTACGAATTCGTTCTCTCCTGCAGCGTTCGAACCTGCGATCCCACTTTGTAAGAGAAACCCCTGTTTGATCCAGCTTGCTTTACTGCTCGGCTACGGAGGGCACCAGATTTCAGGAAGGCCCTATTTTCACATTTTATGGGAAGCAAATCCCTTTCACGCAGACTATTTTCTCAAAAGCTTCAGATATTATCAGTTTCGTATCCGTGACTTCAAGAAAGGAATTTTTAAAGAATTAATGGATATAGTTTAATCAGAAGAATTAATTTCAACATTATACTTAATGTATACGCGCAAAAATATGTTATTTATTTCAAATACGAATACCCACTATAATAATAATAATAATAATAATATACCGAATTAACTTTCTCTCTTCGCAATCTCTTGCTACTTATCGCCATGCTTTCTGTGAAATGACTAATAAAAAATAGAACGTAAATCAAACCTGACCAACATGTAAAATACTTGACAGCGACACACATGTAAAAGTTGGACGAGTCAGCATCTCATTTGAATCCCCAGTGCCTCGTTACAGATCTCGCCTCGTTATGTTTACAGCAGATTGCATTTTGACTTTGATTGGGAAGAGCAAATGAAAAAGACGAACGGTAACTCCTGCAAAGGGAATTTGATCATTTTTCGACAATGTCATATCAGACACGAAGAGAAATCTATAGAGAATTTTCGAGTATGATGCAATTCTTAATAAATGTCAAACGAATAAAATACTTTCATACATTCTTTCATTTTTTTTTCTACTGATTTTCCATTTTTTCTTTCTCTTTCTTAATTCTTTCTTTCTTTCTCACTCTACGCTTTCTTTCCTTCTTTCTTTCTTTCTTTCATTATTTCTTTCTTTCTTGCTTGTTTGATTGCTTGCTTGCTTTCATCTTTCTTTCAGGTTCTCGTATTTGATGTTTAGCATATCCATTGTTTCTTTCGCCAGATTACATTCTTTCTTTCTTTCTTTTTTTCTTTCTCTGTCTACACTTTCTTTCTTTCTTTCTTTCTTTGTCTATACTTTTCTTTTTTTTTTCTTTCTTTTTTTCTCGCTCTCTTACCATCCTTTCTTGTTATTTCTCTTTCCGTCTCCGTGTATTCTTTCATTTTTTTCCTTCTTTCATTCATTGATTCATTCTTTCTTTCTTACAACTTTCTTACTTTCTACACATCTTATGATACTTTCTTAATTTTCTCTTTCATTTCCAGTCTACTTTTTCCTTCTTTCTTTCCTTCCTTCCTCCATTTCTTTATTCATTCTTTCATTATTTCTTTCTTTCTTTCTTTTTACAGGTTTTCTTGTTTGATCTTTATCATATTACTACCCATTATTTCTTTCTCCAGATCGTCCCATTTTTCTTCTTCCTCTTCCCATTCTTTCTTTCTTTCTTACTTTCTTTCTTTCTTTTTTTCTTTCTTTCTTTCTTTCTCTACTGTATCTTTTCTTTCCTCTATAATAATAAGAAAGAAAGGATGAGTAGGTAGCGACCTACTCTTTTTTTTTCTTTTTTCTTTTTTTCTTTCTTTATTTCTACACATCTTACGGTCCTTTCCCGGCATTTCTCTTTCCTTCTTCATCTATTCTTTCTTTCATTCATTAATTTTTCTTCTTGGCTTTCTTTCAACTTTCTTTCTGTCTTCACATCTTATGATGCTTTATTGATTTTCTCTACTTTTTTTCTGATTATTTTTCCTTTTGCCTTCATTAACTCATTCGTTCATTCTTCCTTTATTTATTTATACTTTCATTATTTCATTCTTTGTTTCATTCTCCCTTATTCGCATTTTTCTTTCTCTCATTCTTTCTTTCTTTCTTTCTCTCTTTTTTCATTCCTCCTTTACTTTCTTTTCTCTTTCCTTCTCTCTTGTTTCCCTCTTCCTTTCTTTCTTTCTCTCTAATTTACTTTCTTTTCTCTTTCCTTCTCTCTTGCTTTCTTTTTCTTTCTTTTTTCTTTCTTTCTTTCCTTCTTTCATTCATACTTTATGTAGTTCTTTCTTTCTTACTTTCTTTCTTTGTCTACTATTTCTTTCTTTCTTTCTTTCTTTCTAATTTACTTTCTTTTCTCTTTCCTTCTCTCTTACTTTCTTTTTATCTTTTCTTTCTTTCTTTCCTTCCATCGTTCATTCTTTATAAATTTCTTTCTTTCTTCATTTCCTTCTTTTTCTACACTTTCTTTCTTTCTTTCTTTCTTTCTTTCTGTTTTCTTTCTTTCTTTGTCTAATCTTTCTTTCTTTCTTTCTCTCTAATTTCTTTTTCCTTTCCTTCACTCATGTTTTCTTTTTCTTGCTTTTTTTCTTTCTTTCCTTCCTTCCTTCCTTCATTCATTCTTTATGTATTTCTTTCTTTCTTCCTTTCTTTCTTTGTCTACTCTTTCTTTCTTTCTTTCTTTCTTTTTCTTGAATTTACTTTCTTTTTCTTTCTTTCCTTCATACATTCTTTATGTATTTATTTCTTTCTTTCTTCCTTTCTTTCTTTGTCTTCTCTTTCTTTCTTTCTTTCTTTCTTTCTTTATCTACTTATTCTTTCTTTCTTTCTCTCTAAGTTACTTTCTTTTTCTTTCCTTCTCTCTGGTTTTCTTTTTCTTTCTTTCCTTCATTCATTCTTTATTATTTCTTTCTTTCTTTCTTTTCTTTCTTTTGTTTCTTTCTTTTCTTTCTTTCTTTCTTTCTTTCTTTCTTTGTCTACTTATTCTTTCTTTCTTTCTCTCTAAGTTACTTTCTTTTTCTTTCCTTCTCTCTGGTTTTCTTTTTCTTTCTTTCCTTCATTCATTCTTTATGTATTTCTTTCTTTCTTCCTTTCTTTCTTTGTCTACTCTTTCTTTCTTTCTTTCTTTCTTTCTTTCTTTCTTTCTTTCTTTGTCTACTTATTCTTTCTTTCTTTCTCTCTAAGTTACTTTCTTTTTCTTTCCTTCTCTCTGGCTTCCTTTTTCTTTCCTTCCTTCCTTCCTTCATTCATTCTTTATGTATTTATTTATTTCTTCCTTTCTTTCTTTGTCTACTCTTTCTTTCTTTCTTTCTTTTCCTTTAATTTACTTTCTTTTTCTTTCCATCTCTCTGGTTTTGATTTTTTCTTTCTTTCCTTCATTCATTCTTTATGTATTTATTTCTTTCTTCCTTTCTTTCTTTGTCTTCTCTTTCTTTCTTTCTTTCTTTCTTTGTCTACTTATTCTTTCTTTTTTCTCTCTAAGTTACTTTCTTTTTTCTTTCCTTCTCTCTGGCTTCCTTTTTCTTTCCTTCCTTCCTTCCTTCATTCATTCTTTATGTATTTATTTATTTCTTCCTTTCTTTCTTTGTCTACTCTTTCTTTCTTTCTTTCTTTTCCTTTAATTTACTTTCTTTTTCTTTCCATCTCTCTGGTTTTGATTTTTTCTTTCTTTCCTTCATTCATTCTTTATGTATTTCTTTCTTTCTTCCTTTCTTTCTTTGTCTTCTCTTTCTTTCTTTCTTTCTTTGTCTACTTATTCTTTCTTTCTTTCTCTCTAAGTTACTTTCTTTTTTCTTTCCTTCTCTCTGGCTTCCTTTTTCTTTCTTTCCTTCCTTCCTTCCTTCCTTCATTCTTTATGTATTTATTTATTTCTTCCTTTCTTTCTTTGTCTACTCTTTCTTTCTTTCTTTCTTTCTTTCTTTTTCTTTAATTTACTTTCTTTTTTTTCCTTCTCTCTGGTTTTGATTTTTTCTTTCTTTCCTTCATTCATTCTATATGTATTTATTTCTTTCTTCCTTTCTTTCTTGTCTTCTCTTTCTTTCTTTCTTTCTTTCTTTCTTTGTCTACTTATTCCTTCTTTCTTTCTCTCTAAGTTACTTTCTTTTTTCTTTCCTTCTCTCTGTCTTTCTTTTTCTTTCTTTCCTTCCTTCCTTCCTTCATTCATTCTTTATGTATTTATTTCCTTCTTCCTTTCTTTCTTTGTCTACTCTTTCTTTCTTTCTTTTTGTTTTTCTATCGCCATGACTAAAACGTTTCTTTTCACTACCCTTTTTTCGTTAAATCTATTCTTCCTTCCAAACAATCGTTCCGTCTTCATTGCCTTGCTGAATGTCTCATCTCCCGATAAACATTTTCGGTCTTTTATATTTTGCTCTCATTTTTCTCATCTTTTAAATTCGAATTGATTTTGCCAGAGTATTTTTCGTTTTTAGTGGATTCTTTTGTTTGTTTATTTTATTTTTTTATTTATTTTATTTTTTTTTTTTTTTGAAATTCTTGTTTTCCGTTTCACACCTCGATGCCAAAGGTGGAGACCACAAGAACGCCATTTAGTAATTAGCGCGTGTAAATTGATTCTGGAATAGGTGAGAATTATTTAATTCAATTTACTGAATATTACTTTTTAAAAGCAGACAATGAAAACCAGGGACAGATAGATAGATAGATAGATAGATAGATAGATAGATAGATAGATAGATGTTATAATATGACATGACATATGATATATGAACGGGCTGTTTGAGTGAGAGGGAGAGAGAGAGAGAGAGAGAGAGAGAGAGAGTAAGAAATTTAGCTGGCTGTATATAGCTAGCAAACTATATATATATATATATATATATATATATATATATAGATAGATAGATAGATAGATGAATGAATAGATAGATAGATATGAACAGACTGGCATGGATAGATAAGTATGAAAAGAATCAGATAGATATATAGATATCACACGATGCAATATGATATGATATATACGATTTCGAAGAGAGAGAGAGAGAAATTTAGCTGACTTGTTAGCTAGCTCGCTAAGTGAATAGATAGATAGATAGATAGATGAATGAATGAATAGAAAAAAGAATATGAACGAGCTGCAGTGATAGATAGATAGATAGATAGATAGATAGATAGATAGATGAATAGATAGAACATGAACAGGTTGCAGTGATATATATATATATATATATATATATATATATATATATATATATATATATATATATAGCTGACTATCTAGCTAGCAAGCAATAGATGAATAGATAGATAATTACACGATGCTACATGATATGATATGAACGGGTTGCAAAAGAAAGAGAAATTTGGCTAAACTTGTCAGCTCGCTAGCTGATATATATATATATATATATATATATATATATATATATATATATATAGACAGATGAATATGAACAGACTGGCATG